TCATGTACAGGTACAAGCACCCAATGATAAACGTAAACGTATTGTATACCTAAAATGTACCAATAAAAGAATTTAAGCAAAAAAAAAAAAAAGTGAACAAAAGAGACAAATTTTTTAAAATGAACTTATCAATTCACGACAGTGTCCAGACTTTTCTCCTTTTCCTGGGTCATCTTCTCCCTGGAGGCTATTGCATCCCCCATGCAGAGAAGGCAAGACACCACCCAGGCATTGGTGAGGAGTTTTGGCTTACCACTGTTCTCTGCCTCCAACTAGCATCAACTCAGCTGAAACTTGGCATGTTTTGTCCCCATCATCAGGTGCTGGCATCTACCCTTTGGGCCCCAAATCCCACCAGGGCCTCCAGTCACCAGACCTACATGTTTTCATGCTCAGATCCCAGTCTCAGGTCCTTTGGCTCTGCATACCTGCAGCCCTGGCACTTGGGCGTGCTTGGCTGCTTTCTCTCCCCGCTGCAGTCTCAGAGACACTGATATCCTTGGCACTTCATTCAGCCTTTGCTGCAGCCTTGCCAGATGAGGGCTTCTCTTAGAAGCTTGCAGAGCCATGACCTGCTCCCAGGGTAAGGAAGCATGGTTGCCTCAGTGTCTAGTCCCTACTTGACCCCACCTCTTCAGACTAAGGAAAGCCAATAGTAAGGACAAGGTTTTAGCCCTGTCAAATGCTGTGGGAGAGTGTGGCAGAGGCCAGTAATGTGAGTGAGGAAAGAATCCACCAAGATAAAGATAAAGTATAGAAAAGAAAGTAAAATGGGCATAATACCTGCAAATCCCAGAACTCTGGGAGGCCCAAGTAGGAGGATCACAAGTTCAATCCCAGCCTGGGCAACTTAATGACTTCAGTGAGAAATTTTATCTCAAAATTTTAAAAGGGCTGGGAATATAGATGAGATCGGCCACATTCAGGGTGGCATGGCCATAGACAAGGGCTGGGGATATAGGTCAGTGCAATTGCACTGGATTCAATCCCTAGTATCAAAAAAGAAGAAATTTAATGAGTACACTGCGCATGTGGGTAGAGGCAATGCCATTTGTAAAAGGGAAAGCATGGACTAGGAGTCTATAAAGTTGTCTGTAATATGGCAGTGGAGCAGAATACAGAATTCACAAGTGCTCTGTTTACCTATTGCTATAGTTTAGATCTTGAATGTGTCCCAGAGATCCATATGTTAAAGGCCAGCATATAATGGTATTAGGAGGCAGTGGAACCTTTAAGAGGTGGAGCCTAGTGAGAGAAAGTCAGGTCTGTGGGGGTGTGGCCTCAAGAGGGCTATTGGGACCCCACCTCCTTCCTCTCTGTTTCTGGCCACCATGAGGCGAAAAGGCCTTCTCTACTAAGTCTTTGTGCCATGATGTACATATATTGCACCACCACAGGATCGAAGCAATGGGGCCTAGTGACCACGGATACCTCTGCCACTGAGAGCTAAAATAAACTTTTCCTCTTCATAAGTTGATTATATTGTTTTTTATTACAGTAACAAAAAAAAATACTTGTAAACTTTATATCATGTAGAGTCAGCACCTTGGGTTATTTAGTGGATTGGTGGTGGAAAAACAGAGAAAAAAAGATGAAGAAAAATATAGTTGGATCCTACCTAACCCTACATGCAAAGGAGATCTCTACAAAAGTAAAGTCATAAAATTAATGAGATTGGTAAAAAAATTCTTAAGACTTTAAAACTTACAGACCTGATTGTACCAAAATTAAGGGTTTCTGTTAACAAGTGGCACCATCATTGAGTAGATTTATTATTTTTTTTTTGGTACTGGGGATCAAACTCAGGTCCTTGCACTTGCAAGGCAGGTGGCAGAACCACTGAGCTAAATCCCCAGCCCTATTGAGTAGAATTTAAGAGGTGAGCAACAGGTTGGGATGTCCAAAAGTGACAAAGGATTAATAACTAGAATGCATTGTGAACTTTTGATACCCAACAGATAAGGCAGTACACCAAAACAAAAATGAGTAAAATATATGGCAGACAGTTTACCAAACAGGAAACTCAAAAGCCCAGAAAGAATATGAAAGAAACTGCAAATTAGTAATCAAAGAAATGGAAATTAAAGCAATGATGAGAGATTACCTTCCTTGCTAAGGCAGTATAAAGCTGTAACACGGTTATAGCCTGGGAAAGACAAGAAAGTTGAGTAATACTAAGTGCTAGCTGAAGCATAGGGATAAGAGATTCCTCCTGCAGTGAGAGCACAAGTTGGGAAATAATCTAGCACTAGCTAGTCAGCTTAAGCACTGTATATGGATACCTTATGACATAGTAGTTCCACTTGGAGATATAGGTCCCTTAGAAGTTCTCACACAGAAGTTCTCACATGTTAAAGGGATATGCAGGAGCTGGGGTCAAGCCAGGTGCTAGGAGGCCTGAAGTTAATATAATTTGGGGAACCCTGTTGTGGTATTGCGATATAATAAGAAATATACATTTGGCCTCTGCCACTGGTTTCTGGTACAAAGCTCCTAAAACCCTTAGAGTTTCCAAAGTGATCATGACTTTTTTTTAAGTAAATGAGATGAGTAGTAGCTGGGCCCTTCAGGTACACCCAGGAAGAAGGCTGGTCACAGTAAAGACCCAGGCATTGTTAGAGGGCCACCCCCACCAAACCTCCAGGGAGGAGAGAGGGACAGACTGTGAACTGATCGCCAATGACCGGTGGTCAATTATGACTGCATAATAATCTTCCCTAAAACCCCAAAAGATGAGCTTCTGGGTCACGTGGAGGGAGACACGGAAGCTCCTGCCCCATCTCACAGACCTTCTTCTCAGCTACATCTCTTCCACCTGGTGTTCATCTGTGTCCTTTGTACTTTCTTTTGTTATAAATGGTCAATCATAAGTAAAATGTTGTTAATGAGTTCTGTGAGCCATGCTAGCATATTAATCAAACCTGAGGAAGGGGTCATGGAAACCCCAATTTATAGCCAGCTGGTCAATCTGGGCTTGTGATTGGCCAATGAAGTGGAACCAGTCTTGTGGGACTGAGCACTCAACCTGTGGAATTAGAAGTGAATTGAATTAGAGCTGGAATCTCCTGGAGAATTGCTTGGTACCTGGGGAAATCACCACATATCTGGTCAAAGAACCATTTTGTGTTTTGAGAGTATGGTAGGAGAGAAGGAGTTGTTGTCATTGGATCTGTTTAAGAAAAAGAACACAAATTATGAACACAAAATTAGATACAGAGCTTTGGAAGGAGCTTATTCGAGGACCCCCAAAGCTTCAGCTTTTATCAGCCTCTTGGTAAATTTGCCCTGCATGAGGGGAGATCACTGCAATGTTGTATGCAAAGTAGAGAGTTGAAAATGTCTAAGCCAAGTTGGTTATCAATATCTTGGGCTCTTCGGGGTAAATAACAAGAGATATTCTCAGGATTCTCTTTAATAGTAAAACATTCCCCTAAACTTAAAAAAAGAAAAGTGTGGGCTGGAGATACAGCTCAGAGGTAGAGTATATTCATAGCATGTGCAAGGCCCCAGTACCAAAAAAAGAGATAATCTTCCGTGAATGGGAATAAGTTGGTTGAAAAATCCCCTATCACTAAGGATAAAGGATACTGGTACTAACATGTAAACAGATCTGTGGAGATGTAGTTGGGAAGTCCCTATGCCTCTGGTGTGGCGGGAACTTGATAAAAGAGAACATTTTGCAATACTTCCCAGTTAGTTTGCTCTTAGACATGCCTGTTTACTATGGAGAGTGCCTGAGCTAAGGGGCTACATAGGATTTTCTGAGGTGTGCTGGGGCTCGCCCTGCTCTGGGCTGAAGGTCAGGATGTGCCCTTGGGCAGAGTGCCGAGTCCACCTGCTCCAGCCCCTTCTCTGACCTCCAAACTGTTTCTAAAGTGGGCAGTGGAAGATGAAAACACTGGGCTGCCCAAGAAGTAAGGCCCCCAGAGGAAAGGAAGAAGCTAGAGGAATACCAGTCTCTCCTAAGAGGAGCTTGCTTTAGCAATGGCTACTGCAGGGAATCAGAATGTCACCGCTAAATGTGCCACTTTAGCATGAAGGATATTGAGTGCTGGATAATAAAGAAATAGCACACACCAAAAAGCTCTCTGCTCTCCTTCCCCACCATTTAAATCAGGCTTCGACTCTTAATCATAGGCTCTTTGATAAGTCCAGAGACAAAGTGAGAGAAATCTATACAACAAAACTTAATAGAACAGGTGGATACAGTAATGTATACTTGTAATCCCAGCACTACGGGAGGCTAAGGTAGGAGGTTCTCAAGTTCAAACCAGCCTGGTTTTAGTGACACTTAGCAACTTAGTGAGACTCTGTCTCAAAATTTAAAAAAGAAAATTTAAAGGGGCTGTGAGTGTTGTTTGGTGCTAAGGCCTTGGGTTCAGTCACTAGTATAATGGCAAGAAGTAATTGAAACAACTCTTCTCTTCCATTAGTTTTCCCCATTTATTTACTTCCAAGGACACACTCTGCTGCTCTTGGAAGCCTAAAATCCCTTAGTTCTTTGCCTTGTCATTTCCCTACAAATTTATCATTCTTTGTTAAGATGCTATGTAAGCCCCAAGTTCTAGTCATCCTTTGGAATTACTCATGGCTGAATTTCTCCTGTGTGTGTGTACACTGTCCATGTTAATAAACTGTTTTTCTCTTGTTTTGTTTGATCTTTAGCCTATCTTTTTCAGTCTAACTTTCGTGGCCCTGGCTGAAGAACCTAGGATGCAGAGAGAAAAGGTGTTTTTTTCTTCTATACTATCCATACACCAAGAGCAAGGAGCTGACAGTGCAGATACATGAGTAATACAGCTACAGACAGTGACAGCCAAGAGAAATGGCCCCTCATGGGTCAACCTACGTTTCTGTGGCTGTGGTAGGTGTATACCTGGCTTACTTGACATCCAAAATGGATTCATCTTATCGATCTTCACCTATGAAACAAAATTATCTTCAGGAATAATCAATGGAATGGATAAGGAGGTCTAGAAAAGAAACAGTTAATATCCTAAATGTAATCAACATGTAGTGAATGTCTATGTTAAAAACAGATTGGGGCAGGGATTTAGCTCAGTGGTTCTGCTGCCTGCCTTGTAAGCGCAAGGACCCAAGTTCGATCCCCAGTACCACCAAAAAAAAAAAACCCAAAACAAAACAGATTATTACAGTAAAAGACATATTGGTATTCATTTTCCTCAAAATCCTCCCCCTCCGAAAAAATAAAAAATCCTCTCCCTCACTTTAAACACACTCATCCCCTCACTGTTGCCACTTTCTGAAGCAATTCTGGAAGTCCTCTTTTGTGTCTTTTATGAAGTATGTTTTTAAAAAAATACAGTGAATCCTGATGCTGAGCAACAGCCAATGGAAAGGCAGGCTTATAAGAACATTAGTGTGTCCTCAACCATCTTACTCACTGATCCAGTGCTATGTGACTACTGGCTCTTCCCAAAGTCAAAATGGCCATGAAAGGTCAACATTCTGAATCAGTTCATGACCTCAAGACAGTCACAACAGAGCAACTAAAGATATTCACAAAAGAAGACTTCCAGAACAGCTTCAGAAAGTGACAAGAAGAATGAGTAAGTGTGTTCAAACTGAAGGGGAATATGTCGAAGGGGATTAATGGCAATATTACTTTTGTAGTAATATTTTTAAATTAAACTTTCACCCTATTTTGAGAGCATGCCTCATCTATAATCATGCCAGCAGAAAGTAAAAATCAAATAAATATTACAATACAATAAAAGGAAATAGTTTCTTTTTTATAACATTAATGTAGTTTTTGAATAAAGGAAAAACAGGCCGGGGATTTAGCTCAGTGGTGCTGTGCCTGCCTTGCAAACACACAATCCTGGGTTTGTTCGATCCCTGGTACCAAAAAAAATAATAATAAAGGAAAAACAAATATATATATATGTATTTGTTTCAGTATAGAATGACAACAGTTTACAGCAATTAAAAATAATAATTAAGAAGAGTAAATGTCAGGGCCGGGTATTTAGCTCAGTGGTTCTACCGCCTGCCTCAAAAGCGAAAAGTCCTGAGTTCGATCCCTGGAACCAAAAAAAAAA